TGTAACAAACTGCCATCCTTACAATGCCATTTGGCTGGGTCCTCATTGTTGATGTCCCTTTCCAGCGTGTACATTTAATCTGGAGGAAGATTACTGTGTTTTCACTGTTCACCCACTTTGGGCCTATACACCAAGCTGTTGACAAAGTAGGGATAATTCCCCAAGAAGTCGGTTCTATGTGTACCAATAAGCAGCATGCCTCCTGCATTTATAAAATCTGACCTTGTTAGTCTGATAATAACATTAGATAACTGAGGTAGGAGGTGAGTGGAATAACACAGTAAGCCCAGGATGATGGAAAACATAAATCCACACTGCATGGAGCAGCAATGATCTTCCGACAACAGTTTTAGAACCACTGAAAGTGCATTAATATGTCCTGTATGTATTTTACTGTGGGAAATATGTAAAACTCCAGGCTATATAAAAATATAATTTTAGTAATAGAAATGTGTATATGTAAAAATATAAGCTGGAGGAATAGAAAAATAATTTTCCATCTATACATTTACACATCTAAACACGTGTTTACTGAAGCCGTTTCCTGACCATTCCTGATCTTAAGAGCAAGAATGTGCATAGATATCACTAAAGTAAGTACAGCCATGTGTATGAGCCCATGCTTACTTTACCTATGTACATCCGTGTATCCAGTTGGATATAGATTTGAATGAACAGTGTAAATTAAGCTTGATGTGACATGACATACTTGGACACAGTTGTACCTATTATACTTTACTATTTCTCAGTGGCATAACTATAACCATAGCATCCCACTGCTATGGGGCCTAAGGTAGGAGGGGGCCCATTAAGGGAGCTTATTAGGAAAACTAAACTGTGAGGTTTCCAGTATAGGATGGCTGAATTTAGACCTCATGATGGCCTAGTCACAGATGCCCTTCTATGCAGTATGAAGCAATTGCTTATCTATCTTATCAGAGTTTGTGCCCTCTCAACTTCTGCTACAGACTGAAATTAACCCTGGATGCCTAATTCAGTCACAAATCCCTGAGTTTCACCTTACAGGAGGGTTGAGGTTTGTGGTTCTACAAAAAGGTTTAATGCAGCTTGAGTTTAAAAAGTTAATATTAGGGTTGATGAGTAAATGTGTGCAAGAACGTTAATCATTTTATCCTATAATAAAATATTTTTTATGGTTATTATTATTAGAGCTACTATAACCCTAACCCCTAGCACTGTTCCCTAGTAGTGTACTGACCATGCTGACAGGTCTCCTGATTCCTGCCCTTGATATATACTTCATGTTAAGATAAATGACACATAGGGGGTGATTTACTAACCTAAACACACCCACGTGATTTTTACACAGCAAAACATATTTATCAACCAAAAAGTCTCTAAAAGCATATTTCCACTAATGCCATATATGTAAAAATCATGCACATGATGCATATATAATGCTGCTTCACAGTTTAGACAAAAATGGTTAGCTCATGCATTTACATTCCTGCATTCATCAATGCAAGCAACACAGTGTTGAGCTAATTTACACAACATCACCTTGCAATTCATGCAGGGCTTTGCACAACACACCTGCTGGGTGTGTACACACTACAAAGGTGTCTAGATTCCACCAATAGATCATGTTGGGAGGGAACACACTACAAAGGTGTATACTTGTTCGTGGCGTGTTTATAAGGTTAGTAAATCAACCCCATATTGTCACAATTACCAGCTGCTAAAGAGAGAGTTAGCCGAGGGAGCCCCAAAGTTTTGCTATGGGGCCGATTGATTTGTAGAAACGTAGCTAAGTGGTGTGCTTACTCTATATATTTACAATAATACTAGCAGGTTGATACACTGTGCAGAGGTTTATGCCCCCCAACAATCTCTTATTATTGGTTGAGAAATGGTGCTGGTCATAGTGGTGTACAAAATATTAATGCTAATTACATTAGCTAATTTCCATAGCTACCCATGGAAACAGATGTTCAAATTCTCCATGTTTCTTCAGAAAGTAGCAGGCTAGCACAGAAACATATTTTTTTTTTTACAGAAAAGGTTAAGGCATGCAGTAAAAAGGGGTAGTCTGCCTAAAACTGATTACAGTTTTCGGTTGAAGCTGAAGGGTCAAATTATAATTTTCAAATCTCTCTATGGTAATGGTATGCGTTCCCAGATGTCGAAACCTGTATAGCTTTTAAAAAAGGATCAACCTCTGTCTGTTCTATTTTAAATGTATGTTATACTAAAGAGAATGACATAAGAAGAGTTAGAAAAAACCCCAGTTGTAGCACCAGAAGTTAAAGTTGGGCGGGGACAAAAATAGAACTATGGCATAAACGTTTATGCACTGACAAAATCAAGGTGTGTAGTCTAGAATAAATTGTATACTACAAATAGAAAACAATAAAACAGCTAGCACGTTTCAGGGGTTAAAAGGTCCCCCCTTCATCAGTGCTAAAAATAAATTATACCTAATATTCCATAAATAATAAGAAAACAGAGTTTCTAAGGATTCACAATAACCAATTTAAAAAAAGTATCAAATATAATTAGATATATTTAATTTAAATGATAAGAAAAACTATAGCTGGAATTAACTGCTCACTGCTAAAGTCCTCGTATTCTAAACCTACCAGATTTTGCCTACAACTGAATCACTTTCGGGAGTAATGACTCTTAGTGCTAAGTGCAGTTCTTCTCCAAGGAAAGTGATCAGCAGTTTCAAAGAAAACTGTTGCAAGAACTTTAAAGAACTTATGATATATCAAATGTTGTGACCAGATGAAACAATCTCCATCTGCTGCTTTGGAGGCTTAATTATGCCAATGGAGACTGCATAATTAAGTGCTAATACTGTATATGGGAAATAAATTACAACTGAGCAGTCCCAGATGGCATCATTATCAGAAAAATATGAAGAATGGAAAGAAAAATAGTATGCAATATATAAATTATCAAATACAAATTACACAAAAATAATAACAGTACAATCCAGCATGCAGATGGAGCAAATGTAAATTAAATAGATGATGATATTAGAACATTTAAGTCAACCTATGGATTAAATTCTGATATTTAGAATTGGGTTTTACGCTTTTGGAACTTTAGCAACTACTGATAGATCAAATGATTTTTCATGTTCTTTGATACTCTATGTTTTTCCGCTGTTACACAACGTTAGGCGGCACTTAGGTATACTGTGATTTGAGATCACAACGTCAAAACAATAGTACAATGAGTATTTTTCACAAGTTGCTAACCTTCGCTCTGTAAATCTCTTATGTTATAAGCAGGGATGCACCGATACCAATACCAGAATCGGTATCAGTGCCGATACTGGGCATTTTCATGAGTATACCGGCGCTCTAAATTTTTTAAACACAAGTGGCTGCTGTAAAGTCCTCACCATGCTGGGGACCTCACGGTGGCTGTTCACTGCGCCGGTCTGGCTGCACATCTCCTACTCATCTCTTTCCAGCCACCCGCACAGCCATTGTGAGACCCAGCACAGCGCTGGGGAATCCCACCTACACAGTTCTGGTGAGCCTGCACAACCGGCACAGCCCTGGTGAGACCACCATAAAACGTGCAGGATGGCCATTGCCCACCACAGTAAGAACCCAGCTGGATAGCATTGGCAACCAGGGACTATATGACCTATACAGTTATCCAGCCTTGACTAGTAGTAGCCCAGGCTCTTCTCTGCAAATTTTATATAATGGTCTAGACCAGTCTAACTGCATTATTGGGTTTGGCACTAATTAAGAGAAACACAACAGGCCTCCCAGTACCCACTGGCCTCCCTGAATATATTAAAACTGCAATATATGAACACTCACAAAAAGTTAATATTAAAAAAAGTTTCAGTTAATATCTTAGGGAAAAAATTATGAGTTGGAAGAACCAGTTCTGGTTTTGCTCTCCATAAATTTTTCCTTAACTTTATGTACTCTGGGCCATTATCATTGCAGTTCCTGGCCATAACCTAGATGTAGTTTAGCTGTTATATCCCTTATAATAGAATACCCTTTTCCATCAATTATTTTGATTGTCTAAATCATTGGTTCACTAAAAGATAAGGCAATGCATTGGTTTAAGGTTTACAAACATATTCTGATAACTGTATGTTTTGCTTGGTAAAATTTCTGGCATTTAAGTAGCAAGAAAAACAGAACATGGCTTATAACATCCAGAATCGGGAAACAACATTCAGCAAGTTCCAAACATAGTGCAGGAGTCATAGCTCTATGTCTGGAGCTTGTTCTCCGTGGTACTTTATTAGAGATGATAGGTGTTTTAGATGCACTAATCTTTTAAATATTTTATCACATTTCTCCTTTTGTAGTTAGTAAGTTGTGACTTGCTATGTTTTTGTAGAGGGGTATTCTACGGATTCCTGACAATGTTTGCATGGTTGGAAAGGAAAGTAGTACCATGCCACTTAAAGGGCATCTAAATTGCATAAAGCAATGACGATTGGTAAATGACAAGTTGCCTACTTAGTGTACAAAAGAAAGAAGTCAAGTTCTACTTGATCTGAACTAGTGGTAATGTACATTAACTTTTAATAATATCTAACACTAGATGTGTTAAAATCCATTTACCTCCACAGTGTGCTTTTCTTACAATAGCATAAAAATGTGTTCTGATAGTGTCATATGTTATACCTGCACTGCAGCTATAACTGGCACCAGCGCTAGTATGGTGCCATGCCTCTGCCCCTCTGTGCACTTTGCCCATCGAGAAAAGCAGACAATGATGGCTCAGAGGCAGGAACATGACACCGGTGTTAGAGTCAATTATAGCAGCAAGACTGGTGTCAGCCAGGGGGCAGAAGTAAAGAGCAAGCTGTACAAACACGCAAAACTATGAGATCCATTTATTTATGTTGTCAAAAGAAAAGGTAAAAAGCTACACCAGGAGATAACAAGGCTTTAACATATCTACAAACATTAAAATAAAGGTGCCCCGAGTTCAACTTGAAGTTATTGAAATATGCATGCCTGTCCATAGAGGTGTCAAGGCACATTTATGTTGTCTCCTTCAGACAAAGGTTACAGAAATTCACAGTGTGAGGTTTTATGCAACATTAAGTAAGCAATTTCAAAATAGTAGGTATGGGAATTTATATACTGTATACAGTACAATATTTTATATACTCAAAATACAGTTAATGGATATTTTACATTGATGTTCATTAATAACATATAAATTTTTAGATTACTTTGAACATTTCAAGGCAAGCAGCAAATATACAACAATAATAATGCCATTAGTGTCCTCTATGCATGTGATGTCATTATATGTGAAACTATGGAGTTTTACTGTCATATATCTGAACACAGACTGTCTCTATATTCCATTCCCTAGTTCCTCTTTATGATCAGCATACTTGCCTGTCCAAAGTGAGATTTGTACACAATGGGTCCTTTATTGTCATATTCCATCAAAGAACCAGTATGTCTTGAAATATGTTTTTGGGCAACCATAGGCAACATTTGGTTGTTATCTTCTATGTCAGAGGTCCCCACACCATTGCCCATGGACCAGATGTGGGCCTTTGCTTTATACAGTCAATGAGGCACTATTCCTCCCACTGACACCAACAATGAGGCACTATTCCTTACACTGATACAAATGATGAAGCATAATTTCTCCCACTGGCACCATAGATGGAGTATAATTCCTCCCAATGATATCAAAGATAGGCACAGTTCCTTCCACTGACACCACTGATGGGGCACAATTCCTTCCACTGACACCACTAATAGGGCACAATTCCTCCCACTGACCCCAACAATGGGGCAATCCTTCCTCCTATTGACACTACTGATGGAACACTATTCCTCCCACTGATAGTAGTGATCGGGCACTATTTCTTCTGCTGACACCAATGAATGGGCATTATTTATCCTCTCATTAACCACAGGCTCTAGGTATTTTTTTTTATTCCCACTGACCACTAACCCTGGGTCATTTTAAACTCCCACTGACCACCAAGCCTAAGGCATTGTTTACTCTCACTGATCACTGATGCCAGGACATTTCCAACATCCACTGGCCAAAGTCTGGCCTCCCTAAAGTCTAAAGGATAATGAACTGGTCCTTTGTTTAAAAACTTTGGGGATTTCTGCTCTATGGGATTACAAGACACAAAGCTGTGTTGGAAAATATCACCATATTGTGCCAAGTTAGTAATAATACCTTCTCTTCTATATTTCCTGATATTCTCTTGATTGTAGACACATAAAAACAACAATTTTTCAATACAGATACACTGTTTGGCCTGCCCACAGCTGAGCAGTACTTACAAGCACCAGCTCCATTTTGTTTTTCAAGCATAGTTCTTGGAGTTATCATTATACACTACGGCAACACCCATAGAGGGTGCAAGCAGGGGTAGAGGGCACACAGCATGTTCTGTTGGGTACACTGGAGCTGTGGCCTAGAAACACTTAGTTTTACTGCAGGCAATAAAGGCATTGTTCCTGCAGTAAAAGTATGATTTTTAAAGTGTTCCTGCTATAAGGATGGCGTAGGAGAGTGGGATGTATAGAGAAGTACCAAGGAACACATTTTAAAAAGTTTTATTGTTTATTTATGTTAGGATAAATTAAAGTTGAACCTTAGGGGTAGCAGCATGAAAAACGAATCACATGTGCTAAATGCAAATATGCTGAAATGGAAAAAGTTGAGAAGTGAGCACAGTGACAAGAGAGATGAGCTTATCAGTCTCCCGCTGATCCTCCACTGCCCAATCAAAACATGGAGGGGGGAAGAAACAATACACTGTATTACTTAACAGTAACAGAGGAAGTGGTCTCACCCTCCTGGCTCTACTGTGTGATGAGGCTGTGGTAATCCCAGGACTGAATGGTTAGAAGTGAAAATACTTTGATAGGTAAACCACCTCCATTATATGTATTTCCTCTATGTATTTAGATGTTTAACTGGAGTACAGTTTTAATCTAGTTTGTCAGATTGATAAGTACTCAACACACCCTCATAATTGGTTATTCTACAAAAGGAACTAACAAGTGTTCTTAAGTAAAGAGGTTGGAACTTCATTATACATAAAAACTGAACAATCTAAAAGAATTACCATGTTTCTGCATGCTTGTAAACGTCAAACCCTTATTACTTGTTATATCTTCTAGAGTCCGGTAACCCATTCTGTACCACTTCTCTGCAGTCTTCAGACCCACTCCAAAGATAGATGTAAATATCTGTAGGAAAAATCAATCAGCCAAAGTACAGAGAATCTTTACTCTACAATTAAAGAAATCAGAAACTATAGTGCAGAATATTTCATGAAAGGGGCATGGAGGTAGTAGGGTTGATTTCGATTCTGCAGGGAAAAGCGGTGATTATCTCAGAGTGGCCATGTTATGCAGCGCACTATGTGCAGGAGGTGGTGAGTTGGCTGACAAAGGCTTTTTTTCTTCTTACTCATCCCAGGAGCAGAGCAGCCACTTGCCTGGAAGTGCTGCTAATTTGCCCTTTTCCTCCTCTTCTTCTTTTGCTAATGCTGCCATAGCCCTGTAAACTGACTATAAGGAGCTGGTGGAATTATAAGTCACTGCTATACCATGGGCTTGGCCAGAGAGCACTGCAGTGGGTGTGGGTCTTTTTTATGTATTTGCTGCTGGAGCGGATAGAAAAATGTCCCCAAATCACCCCCATGCTCAGCATCTTAATGCCAGCTTGACAAAATTGCCGTCCCTCAGCCACTAGTTTTTTGCCCATAAGGGCATCTCGGCCTACACTATGACTGTCCCGCAGCGACCAGATGCAAATTTAGTGCGCAATATGTTCCTGATTGTTTCTAAAGTCAGAGTCAATAAATCTCTTATTTATAAACGCAATATTTTCCATCACGTCTATAAACTAATATTTTCCTAGTAGTAAAGAGTAATAAAAAAAATGACAATGTTCCAAAGTAATTTAACTTGAATACTGCCCATTCTTATTGGAAAAAAAAGGCTTGGTACATTTCCTCCAGACACATTATTGTATTTCTCATTAAAGGAGATTTATATCTGCTATTTTTAATTATTTTCCATTTATTATTTTTTAGGCTCTATCAGAAGACACTGCAGAGTTTCATTAACAGCAGCCTAACGTGGAGACGAAATTATATTGAAACTAATTCTATCATACAAGACATGAAAATGGCCACATAAAAGGACAAAGCCATGATGTAATGTGAAATTAATATAATATTATTCTTCATTTAGGAGATTTACTTGTAAATTAATATATATATATATATATTTTTTTTTTTTTACACAGAATTAAAGTAAGTAAAGGAAGAAAGTTTTAGCATTTACATCTATCCTTTGAAATAGGACACAGTCTACCCTTTTCTTCTTTACAAAATAAAGTAGTATGAAAGTATGACATGGTGAACTGTCAATGGTGGGTAAAGGAATATTACCACTCTCAGTACAGGGGTTATGGCTGCTCAAAGGGCAACTATATGCACATTACATCTTTTTAAAAGCCTGTACAACTGAGAAGGAAGGGGTTCATCTATAAAGGTGCAGTAGACTTTAAATAGCTCCTCCTGTTTAGTGAAGCTCTTTTCTACTATCCTGGATCTGTTCTTGTGCCAAAAAAAATCCCCTCTTAGCTGGATACATGATGTTACATATTGAGGAACAGAGGATTGCTAACCTTCTATACAAATGGACAATAAAATGTGAAAACATTTTAAAATATTTTCTAACTTAATTTATTATTATTTATTTATTTTTACTGGATGTTGTCTTTTTAGAGAAAAGTACGTCTTTCATGTTGCACATCAAGAAATACAGTTGCAGCTGTACACGGAGATATTGGAGATATTGAGCTTCATGTCAACACTGGCAAGGTGATTACATGGCTTTGGTAGAAAACATGAGGCAGTCAGCACGGTAAACTTTGTGGCTAATTTTGACAAAATTTTGGCAAAGGCAAAATCTGTAATTTTGCAGCAAAATCAAGTTCAGAGAGAATACACTACTTGTCCCTAAATACAACATACAATTAAATTTACCTTAAATGATTTGTATCTCTCAGAATATATCACTTGGTCAACTCTGGAGGATTTTCCATCTTCAAGAATCTCCTAGACAATAAAATCATATTAAAATAGGCTTCAACCAGATTTTCATCATATGCAATTCACACCCTCCACTGTTAACTTCTGCCCCACTATCTACATAGTGTTACAATGAGAAAATAAAATTGAATTAGTAAAAGAAAAAAGTGAAATAAATGTCCTTTATATAAGTTTACGTTCTTTCCCATGGAGAAAAGCTCTCATAGAGCAATATTAAAGTGACATTAAAGGCTTTTATATCATATCCCTTTCCTCTTCTGGTAGTGTCTCATCACTGCCTCTGCTGGCCTAGCTACTCTGTCCCTCACCTCCCTACATAAACTTTTATGGTTATAGATAACCTTAAAATTATGTTTATAATTATGTATTATAATTATGGGTATAATTATTAATTAGGTATTATAGTATCCAGCTGGTGAAGGAGCAAAGGGGACAGCTTTTCAGTGTCACTTGAGTGGCATCTCTGAGTCTGTTGGGGCTGCTGATATCACATCCAAGATGGCAGCATCCAGCAGCAGCCTCATGGTTTTTGGATATTTATATTAGGGAGACTTGCACCTGTAAACATGAATAACATACATTAAATGCACATATAGTCCTACGGGAAGAGTGCTGTTGAAATGAATAGTGAGGTGAAAGGGTCTTTTAAAGTGCAACTGCATGTTTGGCCTCAGAGACACAACAGGAGGTGAGAGGAAATTTCTGTGAGGGGATATTCCATCTTTGACAGGTAATTTTGACCTACTGAAGGCAACACCCTTCTCCACTGTATTAAGATCTAGAAAATATTATTTGGCTGAGGTTACACAAAGTATGGCCAATAGATTGATTAGTAGACATGTGCGATTCGGTTAGTTCCGAAATTCGTTTTGGACGAATTTTCGGAAATTCAGAGATTCGGATGCATCTGAATTCCGAATTAAAGCTAAGACGAATGCAAACGAATCCGAAATTCCCGATTTCCCGAAATTCGTTATTAAACGTATTTCGTTGCAGCAAAACTCTGTGCTTAAAGTACAGAGGCTATAGTGTAGTGGTTAGAGGTACAGGCTTGCCATTGTGAAGTTCGCTGGTTCAAGTCCAGCCATGGGAGAGTAAAGTTTTGTTTTTTGTTTTTTCATAAACGAATTTCGGCAGGACTACCGCTAACGAATTTCGTCCGAAACTAATTTAATTTTGGACCCGAAAAACGAAACGAAACTAAACAAATTTTTTTTTTTTCAAAACGAAACAAATTTTTTGCTGGTGCACATGTCTATTGATTAGTATCTATTTATTAATAAGCACATTTCTTTTAGGTGGCCTGGTCTTCAAAAAACAAAAAAAACAAGAGCTTTACTACAACAAAGTCCTGACTCGCTGCTGCCCAGCAACCAATCACAAATCATTTAATGAGGTAAGACAAATTGTAACTGCCATGTGATTGGTTGATTCTGCAGGTCATTTCTGCCTGCATTGTTTTATAAGATTAAACTCTTAGTATATAGTATATACCGTATATACTCGAGTATAAGCCGTCCCGAATCCGGAGACTGCCAGATGACCCCGCTCGGAGCGCCGCACACCGGAGCAGCAGTGACGCGACGCTCGGCGAGGTAAGTAAGAAGACGCGCTGGCGCTGACTCGAGTATAAGCCGAGGGGGGCACTTTTCACCCAAAAAAATGGGCTGAAAATCTCGGCTTATACTCGAGTATATACGGTATATAGCTTGCTTAAACATTCGCTAGAATTTTCTGTTTTTCTATAGTGTTGTGTTTTCCCCAGTCGGGTGTGCTCAGTGGCTGTCTATGTTGTTTCATCTGCCAGACTCTGTGGGGATTCAGAGTACTGTGTCAGGGATAGACCATGGATAGACAGGCCTTGACTTCTGTTAGTTAGCCAATCACTGCTGAGCTGGTCATCAGTAGGTTGGGTTTGGCTGTAACAAAACTCCTGAGCATGCTTGCTGCTGGGCTGTTTGTTAGTGTGTTGCGAATGTATATAATGGAAAATGGTCTGTAATGACTTGGTAAAGACTTTGATCCCTTTTTAAATATAGTCACCACATTGGCCTTGCGCCAATCCATCGGTACCAAGCCAGTCATTAGAGAGTCTCTAAAAATTAGATACAATGGCTTTGAAATTATACAGCTCAATTCTTAGAGGACACGTGGGTGTAAGCCATCCGTTTTTGTTGTGTGTTTCGTGATGCAAATATTCGCCCCAGTCTAAAGCTGGCCATAGACCTTACAACCATCGCAAGACTTTTGTGAGGGGCGGGCTTGTGATGACTGCAATGCCGAACAGGCAGTGTGCGCTTGCGCACACCAGCCCGTTCGGCATCTGTCGTACGAGCATGCCACAAACCCGCCGACAATCGTACTTACGGTATATAGCTTGCTTAAACATTCGCTAGAATTTTCTGTTTTTCTATAGTGTTGTGTTTTCCCCAGTCGGGTGTGCTCAGTGGCTGTCTATGTTGTTTCATCTGCCAGACTCTGTGGGGATTCAGAGTACTGTGTCAGGGATAGACCATGGATAGACAGGCCTTGACTTCTGTTAGTTAGCCAATCACTGCTGAGCTGGTCATCAGTAGGTTGGGTTTGGCTGTAACAAAACTCCTGAGCATGCTTGCTGCTGGGCTGTTTGTTAGTGTGTTGCGAATGTATATAATGGAAAATGGTCTGTAATGACTTGGTAAAGACTTTGATCCCTTTTTAAATATAGTCACCACATTGGCCTTGCGCCAATCCATCGGTACCAAGCCAGTCATTAGAGAGTCTCTAAAAATTAGATACAATGGCTTTGAAATTATACAGCTCAATTCTTAGAGGACACGTGGGTGTAAGCCATCCGTTTTTGTTGTGTGTTTCGTGATGCAAATATTCGCCCCAGTCTAAAGCTGGCCATAGACCTTACAACCATCGCAAGACTTTTGTGAGGGGCGGGCTTGTGATGACTGCAATGCCGAACAGGCAGTGTGCGCTTGCGCACACCAGCCCGTTCGGCATCTGTCGTACGAGCATGCCACAAACCCGCCGACAATCGTACGATTGTCGGCGTGTTTTCGAACATGCTTGTAAGACAAAAGTCGTGCGACCATACAGTAGCAGAGGTCGCACGTCTTCCATACACCTTGCGATTATCGTACAATCGCGGGATTTCCCCGCGATTATCGTATGATAATCGCAAGGTGTATGGGCACCATAGGTCTTCAAGAGCAGCCCTCAGCATGGGACATTTTGCTCTCCTGAAGTTAAGTGTTTTCATTTTTCCAGTCTGTGAATGTTGTTTACAACTTAAGTTAAATGAAATCATATTATGGTCACTGCTACCCAAAATGTTCTTTTACATGAAGATTTGTAATTAGCTCTGCATTGTTTGAGATTACCAGATCCAGAAGAGCATAATTTCTAGTTGGGGCTTCTACAAACTGTACCATAAAATTGTCATGTAATAAGTTTATAAATGTCCGCCCTTTTACTGTTCCAGCAGTGCCATTATGCCTGTCAATGTCAAGATAGTTAAAATCCCCCATTAATACTACTGTACCCGTCCTTGCAGCCCTTTCTATTTGTTCAAGGAACAAGTCACTATCTCTTTATTAATGCTGGGGGGCCTGTAACAAACTCCAACAATTACCTTTTCATTATGCATACCAGTATACTACTCCATCCATAACGCCTCAGCATCATTACACTCACCATCAACAAAGTCCTCTTTCCCATTCACTTTTAGTTCACTTTTCACATAGAGACAAACACCGCCACCGCCACCCAGTCTCTCCGAAAGAGAGCATAGCCAGGAATATTAATAGCTCAATCATGTGAAGTCTGTTTTCATGCAGGGATTGCTAGCTAAAGAGAAGATGCACTACTGTTGGGTATTCCAGCCCTCCCTTCCCCTGTTCTGATGTTCTTAATAAACTTTTTAAAGACATTCAAGGACTCTAGACTATAATCACTGCAAGAGAAGCAACTACTGTATGTACCATGCCAGGGGACAAGGCTTTCTCAATTGGGAGTCCCACTTGCTGTATACAAGACCCAGTTGGGTGAAGGTACTGCCATGGGAATCATGCTCCCATACTCCCACTTTACAGAGGCACAGCCTTCAGTTACCACACAGGTGCATGCTATTTTAGTAGCCTGAACAGAGAAAGATCTAAAAAGGCTACAGTAGCATTATTGCAAGATCGATGGTATTAATTTTTTCTTGACAAAAACTTTCTTTCACGAATAAACACTGTGTCCTTACTTCAATGATGTATTTCATCTCCTCTCCCAGGTGAGGCAAGCCTTCCAAATCTTTCATTGTTAGTATGGGAAATGGAAGTGATTTAAGCACAGCTGAGGCTCTCTGATAGGCCACGCGAGGTCCTTTATTTTCCAAAAATTCATAATTTTCTGCCAAGATATCAAAAGCATCCTATAGAAGAAAACAAGAAATATATAGCAGGGAAAATAGTGATCACTTCACAGGACTTGAACAAATTACATAATCTTTCATCATGCAATATATAAGTATGCTCTATGATGATATTTACTGTTCACAGTAAAATGTTATTAGTTCTGCATGCAACTCCAGAGTGCATGTAGCCAGTGAGTGGCTGAGAGAGGGTGGAGGAGATCAGGAGCACAGAAAAAAAAAAAAGGAATGAAATAAGGTAAAAACAGTCATTTATAAATAAAAAAGCATGGCAATTGTGATACATATAGTTTTAACAAATAAATTGTTATCCATTTATGGTTTAGATGTATTTTAAATAACTTTAGACAAGGGTACAAAAGCCACTTTTAGCTCACTTATCAAATCCTTTGGGAGACATAATTTTTCAATACAGCTAGTTTAATTACCTGAAATATTTCTTTAAAATGTATGTCCAGCAAAAATTAGAATCCTGTCCGATTTCTATTGCTATCTAGGGCTCCATTACAGAGATTTCCCCTTCTGTAGTGTCATAGTTTCACCAGACAGGAAGTGATTACAAATATTCAACAGCAACACAGACATAAAAAAAAGATTATTTATTTTATTTATTCATTTTAATAGGCTAGACGCTAAGCCTATAAATTCTTTTAGTATTGTATTGCTGTGTGTGCCTATGTTGCAGATTGCCCCACACTGTAAAAGAGCAGGCATGGATGTATCAGAAAAGTGCACTGATTTACATTAGTTTACTCATTTTTTTTTACAGATTAAAAACTGCCATGGCCATGGATATATTTTAAGGATGTGTTAAGTCTCACCAGTTACCATCATTATCTACTTGGGCCTGCATCAGTCAAAAACGCCAGAGGCTTTATTCTGTTGATATAAGGTAGATCTGTCAATAAGAAGTTGGTAGATGAAGTTAAACTGGATTCTCATGGATGTGCAGAACTCTTCTTAGATGATAATCCATTAGATCCAAAGTAGACTGAATTCATTTGATTCTTATAAACCATGTTGGCAGGGCTGTATCTTCCATAATGACATTCATAGGTCAGTGCTTAGAAGGGCAGACTTAGCAGGGCAGCACCAAGCATTAAAATATATAGATTGTGATAACTGTTTTTCCTATTGTCTTCTTTCTTCTGCCTACCTTTGTATACTTAGGGTAATTAAATAAGAAACCCATAGAGGGAGATGCATGCAGATGATGTTGAGAGGTCTGCATGGTTTAGGACCTAACTCTTCTTTTTTTTACTTGTTTGATGGTCTGTAGAGTTGATAAGTAGCTCTGCACATTGCAAACAATTTAGGCATGTGACCTCCTTATTTGATCTATCTCATTGGAAAAGCTTCCAGGTCAGCCCTCAAGAGTTCATTGTAGTCCTTCCCCAACCTGAAATATAGTGGACTTGCCCTTGTAAGTAATTATAGTATTTATAGCCAAAAACTTTTTTTCATAGTATGGAATAGAATGTGGAATAGTTAAAATCCCTGTCAGGTTTTTACTGCTATCTGTGTCCACATGGGAAAGATTCCAATAGGGGCAGTAGAATTTCTACGAGGAGTTTTTCCCTCACTTTGGAGAGATTTCTTCTCACTCCTTTGTGTCTCTGGGACAGGAAGTAAGGGAAATCTCCCCAATGAGACAGGGACAGAAAAACTAAAAAACTGACTAAGAACTTAAATTTTTCTCTTCCAATGGCCTATTGACACTTAATGAACGTAGCATTGGCCCCTGCAAAGACTAATGATCACTAGTTATAAAATTACCATGTTAGTAGGTACTACTACCGTATGTAAGCACAATAGTAGGTGGTCAGGTTTGAGGGCAGCTTGTAGATGGCAGCACAGCAGGTTAAAATTAACGAATGCTCTTACATGGCAGCATTGTTTAATTTGTCATATGGGTAATGCTAAGCTGGTCCTTTGTTGTGAATCTTTCAATCCTAAGTCCAGAGGGCAGTTTGGAAAAAAAATTCTAAAAAATATAGCCACACTAAAATAGCATTGCCAAATCAATGCCATTTCTATGTATCCGGTGTGTGTTGAACGGGCAGTTATACATGATAAACACATTGCACCTTGTGCTCCTAAAAATGAGCTCAGCTTTATTGTGCTGCTTTTACTTCTTTTTATATGTATAATTAGAAGGGTTCGGACAAATGTGACACTTCACACTGCTTCAGGCAGCAACACTTTTCTCCAACAGACTATTGAAATAGAAGATTGTCTACCAACTTCTATATTGCTACTTTCAGATTTTATTTTACTGCTTTACATCAAAATTAACCAGCAAAACACCTGCATATACCTAGCTGGGTATCTACTAGCTATCAGGCTAGAGTATAGTTATGGGAGTGTAGATGATTGTGGACCTGTAGACAGGGCTGATTTTCTGCATACATTGCCCCCAGCTATAACTATGGGGGTGTAGATGATTGTGGACCCGTAGACAGGGCTAATTGTCTGCATACATTGTCCCCAGCTATAACTATGGGGGTGTAGATGATTGTGGACCCGTAGACAGGGCTAATTTTCTGCATACATTGCCCCCAGCTATACCGCATTAGGAGGGACTGTAACCCTCTATCCCACTCTCTTCTATCACTTTTTGGTCTGATGTACAGACATCTATATAAAATGTATTATTTAACCATATCTCCCAACTTTCTGAGACAAGAAAGAAGGACAGATATAGCACTTAGTAAATAAGCAAAGGACACCTCCCCCAGCCACTCCTCCAGCGATGTGGACCACCAAGAATATGCAAAGTGATTGGTTAAACCGCTGTGCTTCTTTTCCACTTCTTTTCCTTTATATAAGCCTTTTAAAAAAAACAAATGCAAAAATTTGAGGTTGAATAAAAGGTTAAGTGCAATCTATGTTGATAGATACTATGTATTTTTTTACTGCGATCTATAAATCAGACCAAAAAGTGGGACATCTGAAGAAGAAAGAGGGATATCTAAGGGTAAAAAAAAGGACAGAGGGATTTGTTTTCAAAAAAGGGACAGTCCCTCTAAATGGGGGATATTCAAAAAGATTCTGCGCTACAAAGAGCAGACTTGTGCGCCGTCAAAAAATGTGTTCCGTTTCGGAATATCCGTTATTGCTTATTTCGTAATTCGTGTCCGAAACTCAATTCGGATTCGTACGAAATACGAATTTTCGTTAGTTTCGGCACATTTTCGTTCCGTTACGAACATTCGTTATGATGAAGTTAAAAAGCAAAAATACCTTTGTTAATATTGGAGTCGATGTGGTAGTTGTGTTTTTATCCGAAATACGAATTCCGTTAACGGATTCCGGATCCGAATTTCGGATTTCGGATTTAAAAAAAAACTACCATCAACTCCAATATAAATGTACTTTGCTTTTTAACTTCAATATAACGAATGTTCGTAACGGAACGAAAATACGTCAACGGAATTTCGTATTTCCTGCCTGTGTATTGTAATGCAACTGTCAGCAGCAGAAGAGAAAAGTAAACCTCTGATTGGTCAACCAAACGAAATACGAATTCCGTTAACGGATTCCGTATCCGAATTTCGGATTTTCGGATTTTAAAAAAAACTACCATCAACTCCAGTATATTAACAAATGTACTTTGCTTTTTAACTTCAATATAACGAATGTTCGTAACGGAACGAAAATACGTCAACAGAATTTCGTATTCCCTGCCTGTATTGTAATGCAACTGTCAGCAGCAGAAGAGAAAAGTAAACCTCTGATTGGTCAACCAAGTGAAATACGAATTCCGTTAACGGATTCCGTATCCGAATTTCGGATTTAAAAAAAAACTACCATCAAGTTCCTTTTGCATCTATTTGAACCACCTCATGTAAACCTTATTTAAACCACTGCTTTGTGTGCACAATCACCAATATAAAAATCCAAAGCACATTCCTTCACTATAACTTTTTATATGTGCGCTGAGGCCACTAGCAATCCCATACACTCACTCCCTGCTCTGTGGTCCTGCCCAGTGTGATTGCGTCACTAGAAACGCATAGAGGATTAAAGGATTAAAGAGGATTAAAAGAAGTGGATGTGTTCTTTATGACATACTGCCGTGTCTCACCTTATCTTTAAATAGATAGGTCTGATAAATAAGGTGAGGAGCATTCCTGTGGAAGGGGGAGCATGTTTGAGGAGCAAAGAGGTGCATACTGAAGTTAAAAACTGGGATATATAAGAGACTGTGTTTTATGCACATTTGCACTGGAAAAATTGGACGCTGACACAATCAATTGGATACAGCATAATTGATTTTGCAGAAGTAGAAGCTAACATTTGCACTTTTTGTTTGCACTTTTATTAAAGTATATGTGGTTCTGCAGAAGAAGCCAATAGTTGCACAATCTATTTGCACTTTTATTATGCAATATTTATTATATGTGTTTAAAAAGGGTTGAGATATTCTTGTATGTAAATTGAGATACATATTTGCACTATTGGGTTAATGCATAGGGCACTTTGTATAAGTTTATAAGGGGCAATCAATTAGCACCACACTAATGTATTTTATATTCACAGCTGGGAGGTATGTTTGACTGCTAAAGTGTTTTTCTGCACTAAACTTTCACCCAAACTTTAAATTATTGCATTTGCGATTTTGAAGAGTTTAGCCAATCTTTTTTTAGTACTTTGTGCTAAAAAAGTGTCCCTCTGCATGACCCCTGATAATTGGGAGGTATGCATAGCTCAGAGTGGCAGGACTTCCCACAAATTCTGCTGCTGAAAGTCAGTGATTTTGCTTGAATCGGTTAAAGGTTCTTATTTAGATGAATACAGGAGGAAGATGCAGCTCACTCTGCAGAGAGTTTTCAATGCCAGTTTTTTTATCGAATTCAGTTTGCTCTCTCCCTCAGATCTCTTGGTGGGAACTAACTGTAGCTGCCCATAGACTTGAGCTTTTTCCCTGTTCATCTGAAATGGGCCAAACTGGGTGATAATCATCTTATGTAGTAGGCATGGCAAGGTCATTGCAAAGT